TCCATTTGGTCACGACTTTTAAGCGCAAATCATCTGCAAAGTCAGAAATCTGTCGAAGAATGACCTACTTGGTAATAGCGGCAAGCAAAAAACTGACAGGAGAATGTGGATCGTCGGATCGGTGCGGAATCAACGGCGCGAATGTAGCGGAGATTACACTATGGAAAAGCATCATCATGGAGACAACATTCGTGACCAGGGACTGTACAATCGACGCATCTTCTGACTAGTGTCAACAACGATCGATTTATTTTTACGAAGTCATCTTCGTTAAAAATGGATCGACATCAACACAACGAGATCTTCACCCAGGAAAAACAATGGAGCTGCGTAAAGACATGTTCTCTATCCATGAGACACTTCATCTCATAAATTTGATCAACAACCTATGGGATTGCAGAGAAGTAGTTGCTTTCTCTTGCAATATTCCCAACATCAAGTTGCTGCGAAGGAGCAGATTTCGCGCGCAACGACGACGCAGTGCACCCGTCTTGTCAAGGCCAGCGAGACACTACTTCATAACAGGAGCTGACCGATTCGTCTTCATCAAGAATCTCAGCCATCCGAAGTGATTGATTGGAGCAATCTCAACATCAACTTCACGAGGCGACACACCAATCATGCGTCGCGATTCCAGGTGTTAGTGACCTGCGTGGAAAAACATTCCGTGCATGTCACGATGCTTGACAGATTGAGGAGTAATTAACCTCAAATCCGTCGCTCACTAGCGACCCTACAACATGTGCATTGGAGGCGATTCTACCAGAAGCCAAAGCGTTACAAGCATCAGCGTAACTTTGACGATGTAGGAGAATGCCAAGCAACACGCGGTGTCAACAAATGAGGGAGATGCGGACTACTACAACACGAACACGCACTCTACCGACCATACATCGGAGGCACGGATGAGCATACCAGGAATTGCTACCCGTGGATACATTGAGGGGAGAAGCAAATTTATCTTCATACCCTCAAATGAAACAATCACCGGCAGCAATGGAGCAACACATGTGTACCAAAATGCACGTGTTCCTCGTAGTTCCACCTGTTATACCCAGCAGGAAAACTCTACTGGGAAGAGGGAGTTGATGGATTCTCCTTCAACCATTACGGGTTAAGAGAATTCTCTGCAGCAGCTGCCGCCATCACCATTGTCGCAACCGCCGCCGCCGCCGCAGCAGAAGACTCGATACAACAGTCATATCCAAACCCCGATGGATGATTCTCCACTCAATGAAGATAATGCTGGATTATATTCCAGTGGATCGTAATGTCCTGGTCAGGCACAACATTGATTTCCAGCTAGTAGGAAGGCGATACCACTATGCGAGGGAACAATATGGCAATGCCATATACCCTCAAGAGCACAAGATATTTGCTCTTATGAGGATGGGAGGACAATGGTACTCTACCGGTATACAAGTCCTCATGGCCTATGGCTTTCCTTAAAGTCATAAAACCTGCGTCGCAACCAATCCATCACCAGCACCAACTCCATGGAAGCAAAAAGGCGTGAAATGGAGCGCCGACGCCACTCCGGATAGTGGACTCCGCGTATCTCAAAGAACACCCGTGTTTGCCGAAATGGAGCAGACTTCAACACTGATGCTGAGTAGCTGAGACGTCTTCGACATCAATGCTACTTCAAGGACGGTGACAGAATGAGACAACACATGATGGCACCAGAAGACCTATCCCGATATGTGTGCCCAGACACCGATGCATACCGATGGCCTCCGTGCTAGTGCATAAGGTCATACTGGATTGGCTGTCAGCAATGCTAATTTGGAAATGGGAGAGGATTATTTGGGAATAGCCCTAACGTTCCCAGATGTCCTAACCCATCACCGCGTGATATCTATGCAGCAGAGATTCCTTGCTTGAGCAACCACCGAGGGAATACTTATGCGCCGATTCTGTAAGTTACCAGCTCCGCGTTTACGGTACCAACCCATCGCATGGTACTGAACACAAGGGATACGCTGAGCAGCACTTCGCATGCGCTGTTGTACTCAAGGCAATGTGACTAGCAGACCACATGGTGGACAGGGTTACTACTAGTGATTCTGCTCTCCATTCCGCAACACTACGATGCCGAGAGGGTACGACTTGCGGCAACGCTAAGGCATGGACCAACATTCGACAAAAGTTGCATGTAACGGATACAACACTGCTATAGAAGCAGTACTACAACACGACTGCCATACCACCAACACTTGGTGATCTTCAGGCATGGACGAGATGGAAGTGATCTTTAGGCATGCACAAAACAGAAAACAAAGCCATTCATCTGCACGTTACAGCACACTGTTCCAACCACTCAAATCTCCAACTACGACTTGCACCTGCCCATATATCACTGACGGCGATACACACCACCCTTTCTTTCAGTGGATGGAGCCTGCTCACTCTGTAGCAACAGACAGTTCTTGCTATAGTCCAACCGGCTTCCGATTTCATCGCCATCGTCCACCATCTTGTAGATCGACCACACAAGTGCCTCTTGGATATCCAACAACAGCACAAGCACTTGGCCACTCATCACTACCGTTATCCAGACCGTAACCTTGACATCAGCCATCCTCCATCCAAGCTTCAACCTTGATTCTGTGGGTCTATCATCGTTGAAGCAAAGGTCACTTCAGTCAATTTCTGCTTCCGCCAACCAGCCATTTGAAAGATCCATAACGCCTTCCATACCAGCATCTTAAACCGTATCAAGACCAAACACGCTCTAGACCAAATGCCAACCACCATCGCCGCCCTTGTTCGTCCACGACATGGGACAACAACGTGCTCGGACACTGTCATAATCAGAATGGTACTCTAGAGCTTCTTCTTTGCTGGAAGGGTTATGATCCTTCTGAGGCTAAGTCACTGAATTCGACATGGGTAACGCTCGTCGTCCTCTTCTCGACTACCTTGTCAAGCAGGGTGTTACTCCTACCACCCAGCTTTGAGGGGGGGAAGTGTGAGAGTACGACACCGTTACACCAATTTCCCCTTTCCATATTTCCTTTCTATTTCATTCCTCTTTTTATCCTGATTCATTTGGTCTTTATCTCATCTCATTTGGTTTCCTTTTCCTCCCTTTCCATTATCCTTTGGTTTATCCTGATATTATTATTATTATATCACCGACCAGGCTCGGGATGTACTGGCACGCTATATCTAGTGTAATCCTGCCGTAATCCCTTAAAAGCCAATAGCCTCGCGTGGCTATACACATGGTAATTCTATTTCTAGAAGGGTTTATTCCCTTTGGATAGGATAAACTTGGTTACCTGATGTACTTTGGAAGTATAAAAGCACCTTGTACTTATGGATAGTACAACATTGAGCAAACCTCATTCGATCCTGTGACACTGGCTTTGCAGAAAGACATGGACTTCTATAATGAGAGAGCCCTGTGCAAAGAAAGGCTTGCCTTCTACTCGGGCCAGAAGGAACCTCGCCGTGACACGCGCAGTCGCCGCTACTTTTGCAAACTCTGCGAATCCTTCGGGCACTCCACTAAGCACTGCCAAAATCGAGCGGGAAGCAGTGCAAGGCCATCCTACATGCCTAACCCAAGTGGAAGTCAATGGGGGCACTCCCATTAGAGGAGACCCATCGAACCTTCCCCTCAGGACCTGTGCCAAACCAGTCGCCCATCTCACACGGACCAGCGACAAGTCCTGCACCCGCCTGCATCTTCCGAACCTCGTCCGACTCAGCCAGGCATGCATGGTCAACCAACCCACCGGCAACACTTCATGGCGATGAGAAAACATGGTCCTATACGTCGAGCGAATCGACGCCATCGCGTGCCGCCACTACGCCCAAGTCAAGATAACTTCGCCCTGGCTGTAAGAGCCTACGACTACAACAATCCCTACGACGAACACGACAGCTACGATGGCGACGAGGAGGAGCAAGATGGAATCTTCCCATTCCTCTGCTAGAGCCTACATCCTACATCACCGACATGTCATTTGGAGGCAACAGGCAGTATTGGGATGACTTCCAAAAGGACCACCTCATGCACGACTCAAATCGTCCTTACCTGCTGACTCCGAGGATCGCAATGGTCGCCCGCAACAATCGCGACATCTACAATACCTGGTACCTGGACAGTTGCTGCGAACAGCACATGGTCGGATCTGTGCGCTTCATCTCCAATGCCGTCCCAACCCCCGCTGCAGCCTACAGTACGTTACGGTCGCCAACAATGAGCGATTGGTGGCCAAGCACCAAGGGATCGTCGTACTACAGGCCCGCAACACCCTGACCCACATCACTCTGAACGACGTGCTTATCGTTCAGAATCTCCGCTACAACTTACTCTCAACAGCTCAGCTGATGCCCTGCGGCATCAAAATCAGCACCGACCTCCAGACACGCCACCTTCTGCTGCACTATCAGAAGCCTTGTCAACCCAACAAACCCGAGAACCCACCTCAGTTTATCGGCAAGGCAGTAGTGGTCGACGGAGTCTAATACTAGACATCGGCATCCCCAACAATGGTGACAGCCACAAGCTGATTGACCTCGTTCCCCTCGACTTCGCATGGAAGAACGAGAAGGAGTGGACTCACCCCGATGGCCGCCCGTGGGTCACTCAACACATGCACCCATCTGAAACCGATCTGCATGACCCTGGAACAGACGGCATCTGCCTCACCTGTCGAACTCCGAAAGCCTCCTCCAGCAACATAGCTTGAACATGACTCGAAACTCTCGAAGAAGACGAGATGGAGTCCCTACTCACTCCAGAGGTCGGCATGACAACTTCAGAATTTGCCGCAGCCATCACCATTGTTCCTCCCCCAGGAACCATGGACCCCTCCCACGACTCAAGACAACGCTTGGAGAGCGTTCTGGTCTACGTGGGACCAGGCTCCTTTGGCAAAACTGGACGAGCAAACCCATGGGAGTTGGCCACTCACATGGTCTTCAACCCCAACTGGAGAGAGCCCACACCCCGGGAAGCTGCGGACGTGGCTACAAAACTCACATCCGACATGGATGTATGGGCAAGCTCTCTCAGAACCATTGCTGCCCAGCACAGACCAACGTCACCAGAGGCAGCCGAAGCAGCATAGACAACCATGGTCATAGCATCAGTAGCACGAGAAGCAGCAGTAGCACCAGCAAAAGCAAAGGCAGCAGAAGCAGTAGCCGAGGCAGCAGCAGCAGCAGCCGAGGGAGCAGCAAAGGGAGCAGCGGGAGAGAAAACACAACCAGCACCCCCACAACCGACCTCTGAACCCTGAGTCGAGATCGGTGCACCGCCCTAAAGAGCGATAAGGGGACGGGGCAACAATCCAAGCCAGGGAGCCTGGGGACGAGGCCTAGTACCAGAAACAAGCACTGGTTGGGACAATAACGCACCAACCGTTGGTGGATGGGGTAGAGGCTGGAGGTTTCCCTGGGTTTGCAACCAAGCCATAGGACATTGGCGTCTCAATGATGACGTTTGGTACGGCGGAGGAGACGATGAGGACGACAAAGGCAAAAGGGGGAGAACCACACAAGGTGCATATCGTCACCTTGGTCGCCCTCCTCAAGCCCCTGGAACTTGGGCCGAGCATGACGAAACCCCCCCTAAGGAAAACCCACTCCTCTGGCGCCGCTACCATGGATCTCCATTGCCCTAACCTCACAGTCCTTACCCTCTGTCACCGACCCTAGTTGCCAATGCGGAAGCTGATCTCCAAGAGACCAGAACCATCGAAGGTCCACCACCACCTCGCCTCCCTCGCCCGGCAAATGCCCCGGAAGAGCTAGACGAGAGCGCAGCTGGACCAAACGGCTCTCCTCGAGACAGAGAGATTGCTGTGGACCTCGTCAATCAAGAGTTCCTCGCTCTCGCCATTATAGCCCCTGCATTCTTAGACGCGCAACCGGCACCCCCACCTGATGCTTCCTGCCAACGCTATCAGCGTACTTGAGGACATCGCGCCTCCAGGGACATCTGGCACGAACGGCTTCGCCACCCTTCCAGAATCACCCTCAACAACTCACTCAGGGCCAACATCTTCGCCCCTGGTGCACTTATTGACCTTGATGGACGTTAAATCCAAATCAGCCAAGCCCCTCGCTCCTGCACAGTCTGTGCTGAAGCAGCTCTTACGCACAACCCATTCCCAGATCTTCCACGCTGCCCAACTCGCTATACACCGCTTTTCAAAGTCTACAGCGACTACCTAGTCCTCACACAAGTAGGACTCCATGGGGAGCAGTACACGTTGACCTTCATCGACGCTGCCACCTGCTATGTCTGGGCAGTCAACGTCCAGAATAGAGGGGGAGTACTCAAGACCTTTAGAACTTGGCTCGCTCTTGCTGAGCGCCATTTAGGAAAGAAATTGTTGTACTGGCAAAGAGATGGAGCTCGGGAGTTCCGGAGTGAGGAGCTACAGACCCATCTACAAGAACTCGGGATCGAGCACAGACTCTCCCTCCGTTACACTCACCCACAGCAAGGTGTCGCCGACAGACCAAAGTCCGAGCGATGATGCTCCAGCCCAGACTGCCCACAGACTACTGGCCCTATGCAATGCACCATGCAGTACGCCTACACAACCTACTGTCCATCACCACCAGCGAAGGGAATCTGTCTCCCTTCCTGGCTTGGACAGGAAAGCCAGGCGACACCACCATGCTTCGAGTATGGGGCTGCATGGTCCAGTATCGACCTCATCAGGCTAACACCGACAAGTTCGGAAGGCGAGCCCGCAGGGGCGTGCACCTCGGCATCTCCCACGAACACCAAGTATGGACGATCCTGGACCTGGAAAACTCCAACATCGTACCTTCCAGAGACAACTGTTAGAATTAAGGACGGAGTCTAGGTGAACTTAGGAGCTAGAATGTCTCAAAATATAAATCCAAAATATAAATGCACAGGGGGGTATGCTATAGGAGAAGAACTTAACTCATTCTCAAACTTCAATCAAGATTCAAGAATCTCATAAGGAATTAGAGGAGCAAGAGAAAGGTTGGAAGGGAAGAGAGGGATGAGAGGGAAGGTCCCAAGAGAGTCCCCAACCAAGGAAACCCCATAAGCACAAAGATTCCCTCCCTATAGGAACCCCAAATTTGACATTTGTCCCTACCCAACCAATCCATCCAAGTTGGCCACCCTTGCCAATCTAGTTTAGTTGTTCCCAACCAATTTGCAGCTGCTACAGTAGAGTGACGAAGTGTCCCAACCCTTAATGGTCCCAACTCCATATAGAGTCACCCCACAACTTCACTTTGTAACCGTCGCAATTGTAACACAAGCTCATGAACTTTGAATCTTCATAGCTTTCGCGTTCTTGCTCCGATTGGAACGATTCTTGTTGCGTCGGAAAGATCTTCTCAAGATCTATCATCACAAATACTGCTCAAACAAAAATAACACAGAACACATTCCCAAACTCCAGAACACACCACATACAAATTCTTTCACACACTGTCAAACCATACATGGGAATTGAAACAAGGGATGGGAGGCAGACAGAATGTGATAGCATATGATGACATCACACAACAGTCTCCCCCTCTGGCTGCCAAACATCATCCACCATACCACATCTCAAGCATGCATGCTCAATGCACACTCATCCCAGCAAGCTTCAAGCCCTTCCAATGATCCGCCTCCACCAGACGCTTAGTGAAAATATCTGCTGCTGCTGATGGGTCTTCACTATCTCCAGCCGCACCTCCTTATCAAGGAGTCTCCTCACCCAGTGCCACTTAGGCCTTATGTGTTTTGTCAGCCCATGCAGACAAGCATTCTTGGCCAGCTTCACTGCAGACTCATTGTCACAGAACACAACTGTCGGCTCCTCCTGACCAACTCCCAACTCCTCCAACAAGCACCTTAGCCACACCACTTCCTTGGCCCCATGGTGTAAGGCCATGTACTCAGTCTCACATGAGGACAATCCCACCTCATTCTGCTTCTTGCTGCGCCAGCTCACAGCACCACCTCCCAGCAAGCACACATAACCCCCAATGCTGGTGCCATCCACTTTCACAAAGTTGAAGCTCGCATCAGTATAGCAGCTCAAAAGCACTTCTCTACTCTTCACATCTGTTGCACCTCTTTGCAGCCTCTGTCTCTCAGCACTATACTCCAATCCCACTGATGCTGTAGCACTCACATAGCGGACCAACCTCTAGGCTCCTTCCAGCTGCTCATGACTAGGGCGTGAGACCACACTAGCCAACCGTGATGTAGCAAATACAATGTCAGGCCGTGTATGATTTGCAGCATAGTTTAGCGACCCAACCATCGAATGAAACAGCTTCATGTCACTTTCACCCGCTACCTCCTCATCAGCACATGGCTCCACAGTAAACCCCGAAGGTAGTGGTGTTGCTGGCTTTCCCCCATCTTGCAGCCCATACTTCTCAGCCAGCCCCTCACAGTACTTCCTCTGGTGCAACCTCAGCACACCCTTCTCCACATCTCTCTCCACATGCATCCCCATGTAGTACTTCACCTCACCCATCTTGAACTGCATCTCCAGCATCTGCTCTGTGCTGTCCAGCAAAGCAGTTGATGCAGAAAAGAGAAGGATATCATCCACATACACCAAGAGCATGAGGATTTCATCCTTCTCCTGCAGCAGGAACAGACTAGGGTCACACTCACTCTTCTTAAAACCCCCAGCCAACAGCGCCTCCTCCAACTTGTGATACCATACACGAGGCGCCTGCTTAAGGCCATAGATGGCCTTCTTCAGCCTGCAGACCCTACTGCTCCCACCATCCAGCCCCTCTGGCTGCTTCATGTACACCTCCTCCAGAATGATCCCATTCAGAAAGGCAGTCACAATGCCCATCTGCCGAATCTTCCATCCCAGGAATGCAGCTATCGCTAATAGCACCCTCAGTGTTGTTCCTTTCCCCACAGGAGCAAACACCTCATCATAGTCCTTCCCCTTTGTCTGCTGAAACCCCCTTGCCAAAAGCCTAGACTTGTAGTGGGTCAGCTCCCCTTCAGGTCCATACTTGTGCTTGTAGATCATCTTGGAAGTGATTGCCTTCTTCCCAGGAGGCAAGTCACATAGGTTCCATGTATCGTTCTCAATCAGGGACCCGAACTCCTCATCCTCACTCGCCTTCCACTTCTCCCCATTTGGTCCATTCAAGGCCTCTTCTCGAGTCTTGGGCTCGGGGATTGGTGCCCAGTAGCATTGAGCGATCTCATCTTCCTCAATCTGCTCAACCACATTCACAGCTTGCACCACATTCGGATTGCCTCTTCCCCCATAGGTCAGCCTCAAAGGAGGGCGCGCATCCCTCCTAGGACGCTCAGGCGGGTGCGGAACTTGATGTGGAGACTCATGCTGCTGCTGCTGCTACTGCTCCATCTCAGCTGCTCCCCCTTCCTCAGTCACCCCAGACATCTCCTCCTCAGACACTGCAACCTCCACCTGTCTTGAAGGCCGCTGCACCTCATCTGCCTCGACAATGAGAGGTGTAGATGGAAGCTTCTGATGCTGCTGCTTCCATTCCTAGTAGTACAGAGACTCAAGAAAATTCCCATCCCTTGACACTGTCAGCTTTTGGGTGGTCAAGTCCCACAGCAGCCACCCCTTGGGATCCTTAGCAATCCCCAAGTGCACACCCCATCTTCCAGAAGCCTCCAACTTTCCCCTTTTCTCCTTAGGCATATGAAACACCACCATGCACCCAAATGCCCTCAGCATGTTCACAGCTGTATATGGTATATGCAGCATGTTCACCACTTGGTATATGGGATCCACTCCTTATCCCCAACTGTAGCCAGCACCATGTTCTTCACAAGGGCGACCTGCCTCAGTGCAGACACCCAAAACGGATCAGGCAGCCCTGCACGCCCAAGGAGAGTGCGTGCCCCCTCATGCAGGGTCTTGTTGAACCTCTCAGCCATGCCATTCTGCTGCGGGTTGTAGGGCACTGTCAGTTGATGCTGGATCCCCTTCCTCTTCAGCTCCCCCTCAAAATCAGCTCCAATGAACTCCCCACCATTGTCACTGCGGATCACCTTCACCTTGTGTCCACATTCCCTTTGAGCTCTAGGCATCCACACCTCAAAGACAGCCGCTGCCACCTCTTCTTTGCTCTTCAAAGGGTAAACCCACACTGCTCGAGTATGGTCATCCACAATTGTCAAGAAATAGCGGTTGCCTGAGAGGGAAGGGGCTCTTGTGGGCCCCACCACATCCATGTGCACAAGTGCAAGTGGGGACTTGGCTGGTCCTTTAGTGCTGTTGAAGGGGAAATTGGAGAACTTGGTCTCCAAGCATG